CGTCGCAGGCGTCGCAGTAACGGCCCCCCCGCCGCCCCGTGGACTCAGTCCCAACCAATCTACCTGTACATTTGCAACGGAGAGTGACTGGGAAGCGGCGAGGTACCGGGGGCGGATCAGCGCCACGTGAACGATGGGGTGCACGGCCCGGGGTGCACGCCAGGCAGGCAGCCCCCACCGTCACCCCCGCCGCCTCCCCGCACCCCCACGCCTGCCTCCCCGACGGACCCCAGGGCAGGGTGGCTTTCCGGGGCCGTAGCTTCATTATTCCCCCTCTGCTCTTCTTTTCTGCTTCTTGCCCAGAGAGCTTCTCATCCCTGTCCCAACATGCCCAACCCCTCCCTGCCGACCGAGGGGGAATTAGTGGGGAGGTGTTGGCAGCGGCTGGCGTTACCAGATGCCATGTGTTGGGGTCTGGCACAGCACAGAGACCCTCCTCCTCCCTGGGCCCTGTGGTTGGTGTTTGCTGAGCAGCCACTTGCACTGGGGTTGCACATCCCCTGTCCAAGGTGGGGCTGGTTGGGAGGGGCAGTGATGGAAAGCCTTCCCTGTGCCTCGGGCTCTGCCATGGAGCTTCCTCCTGCCAGGGTCAGATCCTGCAGTGCTGGGATGGTGTTGAGGATAGGGTCCCGTCGCATTTTCCCACTCTCCTGCACCTTCCCCTTCCCCTCGCTCCCCAGAGCGAGGGCGCAGCACAGCCATGGGGGGACTCTTGTATATAGGAAGTGCGTGGTGGGGGGCTGGGGGGGCACGGGGGACCCGCAGCTCTGCTGGAGCAGCCGGTGCCCTTGTTCCCTGCCTGCAGCCCCTGTGTTTCCCTCCACCCTGCGTGAGTCTGCCTGGGGCCCCTTTGCAACCCCTGGCTCCTGGTACCTCCTACTTTTGTCTTTTTTTAAGAAAAAAAAAATAATATTATTAAATTGTAAGTTTAAAAAAGAGAAAGAAAAAAAAAAAAAAGGAAAAATACCCCCTCAGCCCCCTTGCCCATTCCCCCCCTCCTGTCCTGAACCCTTTCACCCTGTCCTGACTTTTGTACAGGCTTCTTCTCATGGAAGTCTCATTTTATATCCAGTTCGGAGAGCTTCAAACCAAGGAGAGACTTTGCAGACTTCCTTTCTAATCCCTCCAGAGGCTGGGGAGGGCAGCCCCTGCCTCTCTTCTCAATGTAAATCTTGTGTGCTGTTGTCCCTGCTCCCCCCTCGGGTTCGTGTACCTCGTGCTTGTACATTTCCGCGCTGTAGACAGTGTGTACGATACTGTTCTTTCAATGTGTTATCACTAGAGCAGGTGCCTCCATTGATGTTAGGGGAAACGACGAGAAAAATAATAATTTTTGGGGGTTTTTTTGGTTTAAAAAAAAAAAAAAGAGAAAAAAAAAAATCCCTTCCAAGGCTTTTTCCAAGGAGAAGATGGGAGGTGCCGGGGGAGGGTGTTTGTGTTAACTAACCAGTTCATCCCAGCAGCCTTGGAGTGGGGTTTTGGGGGAAAGTGGGAGTCTGGGCTGCCTGTGGGAACCCCGTGGCATGCCCCATGGTGGGGTTGCAGCAAGTGCTGCTGTGGGAGGGGACTGCCCTAGTGGGGGTATAAGTGTGTGTAAGAGTGTGTGTGCGAGAGTCTGCGTGTCTGTCTGCGTGCGTAAGGGAGCCTGGGGCAGGCAGAGCAGCCCTGAAGTTTGGGGGAGTGAGAGGTGCACTCCATTCTCTCTGTCAGACACCCCCAGTTCCCTGCTGGGGATCCCACAGTCTGTGTCCCATTGCCCCATGAGGCTTGGGGCTGGCAGGTGTCACTGAGGGCCTGCCTGTGCCTGGGGCTCTGGCTGCTGCAGGGGTGCTACTAGCACTCCATGCTTTGCCCACTCCTGGTGAGACTGCAGGAGGTTGCTGAGATGGGGTGGGGGTCACCCTGTGTGTCCTCTCCTTCTGCTGTCCATGTGGTTGGGCAGGGAGACAGAGCCTTGAGTCAGCCCTGGTGTGATCTCAAGCTGAAGATCCCTGGAGAGATGCCTGTGTTGGCTCCTGGGCCCCTCCCTGGGCAGGCCGGAGCTGGAGGGCTCAGCCCCTCAGACCCCCAGGCATGAGGGTCCCCACAGCCCCTTTGCAGGCAGGGGTGAGAGCCCAGTGTGGCAGGGAGGGGGGCTCTGCATCACAGTTAAGGTACGATTCTCCATGCCATGCTGCACGGCTGCTGTGGAGGGTGCAGAGCCCTCACTGCCATGGGCACACTGTAATGCCTTTTTGTTTCCTTTTTTTTTTTTTTTTTTTTCCCCCCCTTCCTCCCCTCCATAGTTTGTGCCATTTATGAGTCATGTATGGTACCAATAAAATGACTTTTCGGTTTGAAGCTGTCCTGATCACTTACATCTGAGCATGGGACCAGGCTGACGTGGACAAGGCAGAGGGGAGTTGTCCCCTCATGTCCCTGGTACCCTGGCAGGGAGTGTGGGCACAGGGCTCACTGTGTTCCCTGGATGATGCTGGCCTGCTTGTGCCTGCTGGTTCCCAGGCACGCCACAGCTGGCTCCCTGCCATGCCATGGAGAGCAGAAATCCCGGCAAGGGTAAGGTACTGGGTTGCTGGGAAATGGCCTCAGTCCCCCAGGCAGAGCAAACAAGCAGCTCGAGGCCTGCCAGGACACCAAGGTGATGGGCACGTTCCCTGGGGAGCAGTGGGGGCCATGTAATCCTGCCTGGGAGCAGGGCAGGAGTAGCTGAGCACCATGGAGGTGTCCTGGGGGGAGCAAAGGAGGGACAGGGGACTATAACAATCTCCTTCCAGAAGCTGGGGTGCCCTGTGCCAGCTTTATAGGGATATGGGGGAAACCATGCTTGTAAAACAGGGCTGATGCAGCAAAGGGTGAGAACAGGATGGGCCTGTATCTTCCAAGTTGGAGCAGGGGTTGGGTCGAAATCTGCAATGAGGGACATCACCAGGCTGTGACAGGGCTGAGGTTGGGGGGCTGCAGGACACAGGTGCTGTGGTAGGAGCTCATGGCTGGGCAGGTGAGGGGAGGGTGGCCCTGATGAGTCTATGGTGTGGCACCCAGAGCTGAGGCATCAATAAATACACTCGTTTCTGACATGCCCGAGCTCTGGCAGGCTCAGTGGGATGCCCTGGATGGGAAGGGAGCAATGCCCTGCAGGAGCAGATTCTGCCATCTGTGATGGATCCTCCATATGCCTGGCTGGATCCTGCACATGCACCTGACAGCTGCTGGAGGGCCCCAAGGCAACACTTCAGGCTTGAGGTCCGAGCTGGAAAGCCCAAGGGTACCTGTGAAGCTCCCAAACCTCCTTCCCCCACATCAGCTCCAGTGCTGTGGGAAAACCACTAGTTGTTGCTTTTTTTTTCCTCTCTTTTTTTGTTGGGATGAATCTGTGCCCGCTGCTGCTCTGCCCAGTGCCAGTGCTGTGCCAGAGGGTCCCACATGACACTGGCACCCAGCATGGGCCAGACCAGGAAGAAAACCTGAAGCAGGGCTGCCCTCCTCACTGGGCCACCTTCACCTAAGGTCACGGAGTGCAGTGATGCCTGCCTGTGCCAAGGAAAGTTAAGCAGTTACCGGGAGGTGGCCACGGGCAAGCCGTGAGTGCTGGAGAGGCAGGGAGGCCCCCATGCAAAGGTCATGCAGGTACAGCTCACCCAGAGTCCCTGCCGGTCCCGTCCAAAAGCCTGGGGACACATGCAGGGACACAGGGTAGGGGCCAAGGACCGTGCTGGGGGCTCCAGCTACTTCGGGGCAGGAGGTGGGGGTCACAGCAGAGGGCTGCCACAGGGGCAAGGTGGGCAGCGGAGCAGGCTCTCGGCAAGGGTGCTGTGGCGGGGGGGGCCGCCGGAGGGGCCAGCAGCGGCTCTGGCAGTGTGGGGTGAGTGCTGGCTCTCTTAGACAAGGAGGGAGCAACCCAGGCAGAGGGCTGGTGGGCGGCCGGCTCTCCCATGCGGGCCAGGGCAGGGGCCGGGGTCTCTGGGGGAGATGCAGGATGTCAGGATGGGCTGGGGCCAGGAGCGGGGCTGCCCCTCGGGTGGAGGAGGGGTGCCAAGGTGCAGAGGGGAGGGGTGGGCAGAGGGCTCCCCCTGGGCAGAAGAGGGGCCCGGCGCGGCCGGACAGACCCTGGCGGGCCGGGGCGGAAGGGGCGGCTCTGTCCGGCCCTCCCGCACCTCCCGGAGCCACCCGCGCCGCGGGCTCGGTGCGGAGCCGTGCCCCGCTGGGGAGCTCCGCCTGCCGGGACGGGACCCTCGGGCCATCTGCCCCGCGTCCACCGGGTGCGTCCGCGGCACAACCGGGAGCGACCTCCGGCCCCTCCCGCCCCTGCCTCCGGCTGCGGTTCCCGGAGCTCCGGCGGCGGGGCGGGGGATGGAGCCATGCGGCGTGGGAAAGCTCCGCGGGGAGCGGGGATGGAGCCCAGCGGGCGCCCAGCCTTTGGGGAAAAATGCTGTCTGGGGACCCCTGAGGCTGTTCCCCGCTTGGGGGGACCGGGACGCGTGTGGAAAATGCCGGGTTTGCCGCAGTGCCCCATTTCGCAAGGTTTTTAGATGCAAAACCTGCTTCTGTGGCTACAGCTGGTTTGTGTTGAAACTCTGAACGGCTCCACGCACCCCATCCCGAAAGGATGCAGATGGTGTGGGGCGGAGCGGGCGGGACGGCTGCCCTCGGGATCACCCCGGGCCACCCAGCTCCTGGGCTGGGGCAGGAGGAAACCAGCACGGGCAGGGGAGCTTAGCGGAGAGGGAGGAGAGGGACTCTTCCCCATGCCTGCGTCGGGACAGGTCGGTGGTGACCCTGACCCCGGTATAGGGAGGCGGCCCGAAGCGGCCGAGTGCCAAGAGCCGTAAGGGGCAGGGTGGGGCGATCCCGGCATCGCCGCCTCCCCCGGCAAACAGCTTGTCAGCAATCACCGCTGAAACTTAAACCACAGACCTGGGCGCTGGCACGCTGCGGCCGGACCCTGCCGCAGCGGTGGGTGCAGAGAGGTGTCAGAGGACTGGGTGAGTGCTCTGAATCCGCTCCACCCCCACAGCCCCTGGGTCCCTCCTGGGCACCACCTGCTTGGCTTCCCACCCCACTGCTGACAGGGGTGGGGATGGGTGCACCCATCCTTCCTCGGTGCTCTCCCGCAGCTCTGTGCTTCCGGGCAGGAGCGGGCAGGTGCCTGATATTTTTTCTCTCTGCATTTCCTGGTCGGAGGCAGGGCAGGCTGGGTGGTCCCGAGCTCCGACGACACCGACAGCTCCTCTCGGTGCCCAGGTGTCCACAGGAGCTGCTGCGATGGAGCTGGGGAACATCTGGAAGCCCACGTACGGCCCTGGCCTCGAGGCGCCGGGGAGCAGCACGCCGGGGCTGGTGGCGATGGCACACGGCTTCCTGCGGCTGGTGCAGCCCAACGCCCTGCCCACAGGTGGGTGCATGGCAGAGGGGGCTGGCAGGGCTGCAATGGCGGGGGTCATCGGGAATGGGATCCCAAGGATTGCCAGCTGTATCCTGCTCATGTCCCCTAACAACTGTGGAGTCATCTTAGCTGGGCCCCAGGACAGGTGTTAGAGGTAGTGCCACCTTGCAGAGTCCTGCCCCATCCTCCCTCCAGGTAACTTAATCATAGGCTCCCAAAAATGTGCAGAGCAAATCCCACTCTGCCTGCAGGCTGTTTGCCTGTCTTGCAGCCCTCTGTGTTTGCTGGCCACCAAGAGCAGAGTATCCTGGTGCCAGGGGCAGCACTGTGTGCTCTCCCTGTGCACTGCCCTGCTTGCCAGTGCTTGCTGTTCTCCTGTCGCTGTCACAGCTCTGTCCCGATGCAGCTGCAGGTTTGCACAGGTGATACCAGGACCCTGCAGCTGCTCCATATTCATGGGGGAAGTGCTGCCCACCTGGAGGGAAATGCCACTCTGGGTACTGCCATTGTGCATCCTCCTTCACTGGCTTTGACCCCTGCTCACCATGAACATGCTGGCAAAGGTGTGGCTGGCAGCACAGGTCCTGCTTTGTGGACCTGCGTCACACAGACACCAGGGTACAATCAATGTCCTCATGTGCTATCAAGGCTTGTAATGAGGGCATGTGGCACAGGGAGAGAGAGCCCTGGGAATGAAAGAGGCAGTGTGGCAGTTGGCCTTTGCCCCCAGTACTCACTCCTCACTGGCAGTGCCCTTGGGTTTCTCTGCAGGAGGGCAGCCCCAGGGCAGTGTCCCTTATGCCCATAGTGGTGAGGAGCTCCCTTGTTCTGTGAATTCCTGAGAGCCTGGGAGCTGGCAGAACTTTTCCTGGGTGCAAAAATGCTGCATGATGTGATGGCTGGGGAGGGGAGCTGCAAGGGAGAAAAATGCCATACTCAGAGCTGGTCTGAGCTGCAGGTGATGCCTTGGGCTGGGAGGGTTGAGCAGGGTCTGGGGCCCTCTTGGAGAGCTCCATAGGGCCCAGCACCTATTCACAGCCCTCTGTGCTTCTTGTCTCCCAGAGCTGATTAATTTTGAGCAGTCCCAGAGTGGGTTCAGCCAAGATAACATCAATGAGGTGAGCAGGCAGCTGGGGTGGGGAGCTGGCAGCCCCAGAGCATCGTGGACTGGGGGATGCTGGTGGGTGCTGCTCTGAGGCTGAGCCCTGGATGCTGGGTGGCAGCAAGGGGACGTGTTCTGCTCCCTGGGGGACCCATTTTGTCTGTTTGGGTCTGGACAGGGTGCGCAGAGCTGAGGGACCTTTGGGGACACCAATGTTACGCTGCTTCTCATTCTTCCTATCCCAGCTGCTGCTCTATGAACGGGGTTTCCTGGTCTGCGTGGCCATTGGAGTCCTCCTCATCATCCTGGTGCCGCTGGTGGGATGCTGCTTCTGCTGCTGCCGCTGCTGCGGGAACTGCGGGGGCCGCATGTACCAGAAGCAGCGCCGGCGGATGCGCTGCCGGCGCCGGGCGCTCTGGGCCTCCGTCCTGCTGCTCTCCGCTTTCCTCCTGTGAGTGCGCGGGCCGGGAGGCTCCGGATGGAACCCAGGGGTGGCTGGAAATGCCGGCGCTTGGCGGCCGTGCCAGGAAACTGCCATTGTTCACGAGTAGATCGCGGCACGGCGGGACAAAGGAGAGGAAGCAGCGGCGGTGGGGAGCTGGCCCCGGGGGGCTGCGCACTGCAGACCATGCAGCCCTTTCCCGACAGCCTCCCCACGGCTACCGGGCTCTGCCGTGCCTCAGTTCCCTGCGTCCCTCCTCTCTGGTCCCTCGGGGCAGGCCATGGGCTGGGATGCACTGGAAGCAGGAGTCACTGGTGTGCTCCAGACCCTGCAGGCTGGGGTTTGTTTGGGTGGATTTGGAGGGTGCTGGGGGGAGCATTGGGACTGACCTTGCCACCCGTCCCTTGCAGGGCTGGTGGTGTCTGTGCCCTCATCAGCAACACCCGCTTCTCCCAGGCTGTGAAGAGCACCTTCCCCAATGTGAACAACACTCTGGACAACATCCACACCTACCTGGCCTCCATCCCCCAGGCACGCATGGGCCCCTGCCACGTCTTGGGGGCGAGGGGCCGGGCGGGAGGAGCAGCCCAAATAGCCCCCTGGGGAAGGGCAGCAGAGAAAACTCCCCACCCTCACTGACACCACACCTCTGTCCCTACAGCAAGTTGATTTTGTCATCGACAAGAGCGATGTCCCACTGAACTATGCCAACCACAGCCTGCAGGGTGAGGGTGTGCGATGGGAGGGGCTGGAGCATCCCCAGGGCCCTGTGGGAGCTGCCCCAGGGCCGGGGGCACTTGGGCAGTGCGAGTGTTGTGTGGGTTTACCTTTCTGCCCTGGGGGTGGTTGCTGACCCTGCAGGCCCCTGGGCTTGTTCTTATGGGGATGTCTAAAGGGTCTGGGTCTGGAGGCTCTCCCAAGCTCCAGCTCTGCTCCAGTTTCTGCTTTCCCCTATTCAGGCTCCTCTCTGGGAAGGGTGATGTGGGTGGTGGGAGAGTGAGGATATTCCCATTGCCCCCCACCTTGGGGGTGGGTGAGGGAGGGGTGCTGATGGTGTCAGTGTCTTCACCAGCTTTCCTGCAAGCCCCAGGATCTTGCAGGGATCCTGTTTTTGACACCACCTCTCCCATCTCTGCAGACATTGGGCCCAAACTGGGCAATATGATCACCTCCCACATCAGGAGCAGCACAGATGGGGCTCTGGGATCTCTCCAGAGCCTCTTGCAAGGTACTGGCCCTATCCCTGGGAGACTGGCAAGGGACTCAGGGGGATTAAGACATAGGGTGGCTGCATGTTTGTGTAAGAATCCCATGGAGGTGGATCCCTTTGGCCTCCCAACTACACCCTGGGACAAGTGCCATGACTTTGGAGGTGCCCCTATGTTGCATTTTTTCATGGGTTCCCAAGGTTCAGCTGGATGAGAAGGAGTCCCTGCCACAGTGGCAGGATGAGGCCCTGAGCTCCCTGCTCTCTCCCCAGGGATGGAGACACTGAACGGCACCTTTGCCAACATTGCCATCGGCCGCTCAGACCTCGAGGAGCTGCAGAGCAACTACAGCCAGGGGCTGGTCAGCCTGAGGGACAGGCTCAATGGCACCCTGCAGAAATGTGGCCCCCCCTGCAGCGGAGTGTCCCTGAAGGGGCTCACCTTCACTGCCAACTTCAGCACGGTGAGGGGGGGCAGGCTGTGGATGAGGGGCCCCCTGCCCCAGCCCCCACAGCTTCCTCACTCCAGGCTCTTCCCCACAGATCCCAGGTGTGGAGCAGCAGCTGGAGGCACTGCGTGAGGTCTCCAAGTCAAACATAAAGTCTGATTTAGAGGAGGTACGGGGTGTCTCCTTTGCCCAGGCACAAAGCTGGGTGCTCCTGCAGCTGCTGAGGCTGTGCTGACAGGCTGTGGGTTGGGAAGAGCTCTGTCAGGAGTTCAGTGTGTCACACGGAGGGAAGGGCTGGCCAGAGGTCTGCTTGCTGTCCCAGCCATCCCTGCACACTGCTAGGGTGGACTGGTGCTGTGGGGAGCCTGGCTGTTGTGTGCTACTAGTATCTGGGTTCAAGGGGATGTGTTGCTCAGCCCTGGATTGCAGGCAGGGATGTGAGTTTCATGATGTGCTTCCCTGGATGCAGGTTAACAAAACACTGGGCATGACCCCTGACAAGGTGCAAGAGCAGTCCCAAGAAGTGGTGGCAAGTAAGCAGGGCTTTGTGTGCTGGCTTCTCCCTCTTCGAGGATTTCCTCCTCCCTTCTCAAGCCATTCTTTCCTGGAGGCCTGCAGCCCTGGCTGTCCCCAGGGGCTATCATGCCAATGTCATCCTTGGCCATGACTGCCCCTTTCCTATCCTTCCTGAGTCCCCTCTGCCCTGCAGGACCTGGGCAGCAGCTCAGAATGTCAGCATGTCCCCATGCCTTGCAGAGAGCCGGGACCAGCTGCTCCTCATCAGGCAGGAGATCAGGAACTTGCAGGGAAGGTTGCCACTCTGGGATGTGGAGCAGAAAGTTGGGGCCTTTGTGAACAATGCCACATCCATGCTGGAGAAGTACAGGGAGCCGATTGTGGCCTGGGACGGGCTCAGGTGGGCGAGGGGCTGGACTCCATTGTCTGGGGGGTTTTAAGGCTCTTCCCATTGCTGGAGGTGGGGCCTTGCTGGGTGGTGGGGTTGGGGGTGCAGGGTACTCAGAGCTGTGCCTTGCAGACACACATGCCCCTTCCCTACTGTGGTGTCTGGGACCCTTTTTCCTCCCCACGAAGGCAGCCAGTGGGCTGCAGGGTGCTGCTCAGGGTCCCAGGTTCTGCTGCCTGACTCCCGCCCTTTGTCTTGCCCCAGGTTGATCGTGTGTGCCCTCCTGTGCTGCACGGTGCTGCTGGTGGTCCTCTGCAACGTTTTTGGGCTGCTGCTGGGGCCCCTGGGGCTGAAGGAAGGTGTGCTGCCCACACAGCGAAGCAGCCTCTCCAATGCTGGCGGGAACTTCTTCATGGCGTGAGGCTCAGCTGGCTGCCAAGGACACGTGTGGGAGCGGTGGGATGGGTGGGCAGGGCTGCCCTGGGAACACTCGAGCTCCTAAATCATCACTTTACTGCAACCTAATGGCCTGCCCCGGGGTGACTCCCCGTGCAGGTGGTAAATTGGTCAATCGTGGTGCTGGTGAGGCATTTGAGGGGAGCCTGTTTGCCCTGTGATGGCAGCGAGGGCTGGCAGTGTGAGCGTGGGTCCTGCAGCTCTGCGGGGGAGCACTGGCTTGCAAAGCTGTGGGAAGCCATTCTGGAGTCCAAGCTCCAGGGCAGAGCCTGGTCATGCTCTGAGGTCTGAAGGCAGAACAGAGACAAGCTTGTGGGAAGGGTGGTGTTCCCACAACTGTGGGGTGTGCAGCCCCTGGGCTCTGCGAGCTGGGGGCAATGCCAGCATCAGTGCTGGGCTGCTGGTGGTGATGGCATTTCTGTCCCGGCAGAGGGGTTGGCTTCAGTTTCATCTTCTACTGGCTGCTCATGCTGCTGGTGATGATCATCTTCGTGCTGGGGGGGAACATTTACATGCTCTTCTGTGAGTCCTGGCACAACCAGGAGCTCTTCCAGGTAAGCTTGTTGTGGGGAAACTGCCTGGAGATACTGCTTCCTAATGAGGACTGCTGGTAGAGCAGAGGCAGCACTAGCCATTTAAGATGCTCTTCCAACGTGTCCTGTCCTGCTCTATGTCTAGTTTCTCCATCTCTTTCCTTGCTCTTAGCTCCTGGACACCCCTGGCCAGATCCCTAACTTCAATCTCTCAGAGCTGCTGGGCCTGAAGGATGACATGACAAATTTCTCAGAGATATACAGGTGGGTCTGAGCCCTGACATTGTGTTCTTGGTGGGGGTAGAGCTGCTCAATGCCCTCAATAATCTCCAGGAGCAGGGCAGCTTGCCCTACCTTCCCAGGCTGTGGGTAGGCACTGATCACAGGGAAGGAGCAAGGTGCAACCTACCTGCACAGGTGAGGACATGCTCTTGAGAGAAGGTGGCCCTCACCTGCCCTGTTTTACACCCCATGCCCCCATCCTGCAGGCAGTGCCAGCAAGATGCTCCCCTGTGGCAAACTCTGCACTTGGACCAGAGCGTGTCCCTGGATGAGCTCTTGAATATCAGCCAGGTGAGTGTGGGGGTGCCAGGGTCTGGAGGGCAGGAATCCAGACCAAGGGCTGAGGGGACAGTGAGGGGCGAGCACATGTCCCATCATGGCCCCCTTTGCTCTGGCAGTATGCAGGAGACATCTCCACAGCTTTTGAGAAGATGGACATCACCCTAAGCCCCATCTCCCTGATCAACCAGAGCCAGACAGACCTGCTGCTGAGGGCCAGTCAGGCTGCACAGCCTCCCAACTTCACCCTCACCCTGGAGCAGGTGTGCTGGGTGTAGCCTGGTCTTGGGATCAGGGTGGGGGTTTGGATGTGGGTTGAGGAGGTCTATTGCACTCTCCTTTTTGCTGCTGTGAGAGTCCTCTGCCATCTGTGCAACCTGTTAGGGTAACAAGGCACATCCTCTGCCTAGAAGGCCCTGGCTCCACTCTGTCCCACAAAGAAGGGGTATAGCTCCCCTTGTGAACCCCATTCCTCATTCTCATGGCTCTGTCTCTGCCTTTTCCAGCTGGATCAGAATATGACCCAAGGAAGCCTCCTGGATCTGGCTGCAGAGTTGGAGCAGCTGGTAAAAAAAGTGGTGAGAGACCATGAGACCCCAGGGCCATAGCCACCCTGTCCCCAAAGCCACTGGTTACTGGGCTCCTCTGTGCCTTCCTGGGTGCTGAGGGGAGGCACAGAGCTGGGCACTGCTGACTGCAGCACTTCCAGGGCACAGACGTGAAGAAGGACCTGGAAAATAATGCTGGTGAACTGAGGGAGCTGGAAAAGGAGATGCAGGCGAGCTTCTCTGGGCCACTGGTGAGCGACGCTGGGGCACGTCCTGGGGAGGCTGGGCTGGGCTTCCCTAGAGCTCAGAGCCTGCTGGCACGGTCTGGGGTCCGCACCTCTGATCCCCCTTCTCTCTGTCCCCAGCAAAGTCTGAAGGAGAACATCCACTCAGTGCAGAGTGGGGCTGCCCAGCTGGAGGTAAGCTGCACAAGGGGAGTGCATGCCAGTCCCGGGCACCCTGCAAAGCACCCTCGAGGTCCTGCAGTGGAGGTGGTGGGGCTAACCTGCAGTCTGGGGGCTGCTGTGGCACTCTTCATGTGCTGCAGGGGCTGTTCATGGGGTAGAGGGAGGGAGGCCATGGACCCTGCCAGGCACAGGCTCCCTCCACCTGAGGTACCTGGCACTACCAGCGTGTCACTGCTGGGAACACCACAGCTCTGAGAGGATCTGCCCCAGGGAGTGCTGCTAGCAGGGCTGGTGAAGTGCAGAGGCCCCGCTTAGATCACAGTGCTGAGAGCAGCTTTCACCTCAGGGACAGACAACAGCTGCGCTGGACAAAGCCAACAAAACCCAGGAGTTCCTGGAGAGGGAGATGCCAAACATCATCAAGAACGTGAGCTTGCCTTGCCCTGCTGTCAGGTCACACACCAGACCCCCTCACCAAGACCTCCCTCTATACAAGGAAGCCAAACCTTGTCTGGCTGCTCATCCTGCTTGCCTTCCCTGAGTGTCTCTTGCACCTCTGGGTGCCCCCTTCCCTTATGGCATCCCTGGCAAGGGACTGGGGTGGGGTGAAGCATTCAGCCCTGTTGCTGCTGGGCTGAGGTGGTCTGAGAGTCCTGATCCTGACATGGAAGGGACATGGGGCATGGAGGGGGCTGGTGGTGCAACATCTCCACTCTGTTCTTGCCCCTCCAGGAGACATTGGCCTTCCTGGAGCAGCTGTTGGATTTCTTTGAGACCTACATTTCATGGGCCAAGAGCAGGGTAAGCTGAGCCTTCCTCAGTGAGGTGCAGAGAAGGGGAGAATGAGCTGCAAGGCTTGGTGGATGCTGACATATGCTGTCTCCACCATGTCCCCAGGTGACAGAAGATGTGGCACGTTGCAAGCCCATAGCTCAGTCCTTGGATAATGTGGAGGCCATTGGCTGTGACTATATCATGGACTCTGTGGTGAGTGGGGCAGTGGTGTGTAGAGTGACACACACATGTGGGGTGGCAGTGAGGTGCTCTTGTCCTCCTCATGCACAGGATAAGGGATGCAGGGAAGGATCAGGGATGCACAGGAAGCAGTGCTCAGCTTCTGCCCAGCAAAGTGCTGTGGCTAAGAACAAAGGCCAGGCTCTGAGGTGTGAGTGGTCATTGGGGAGCACTGGGAGCAGAAGGGATGCTCCCAGTCACTCTCTGGACCTAATGGCTCTTCCTGCACTCTATGCAGAATGCCTTCTGGTTCAGCCTGGGCTGGTGCACCTTTTTCCTGCTGCCCAGCATCATCCTGTCTGTCAGACTTGCCAAGTTTTACCGCCGCATGGATACTGCTGATGTGTACAGGTGAGCAGCAGCCCCAGCCCCTGGGACCACACTGGGTCTGGGGTCCCCCTGCCACCTGCTCCTTCATGTCCTGTGGTAGCCTGTGGGGCTCATGCTAAAGCAATGTGGGCTGGGGAGAATCTGAGAGGTGACTTGGGGTCCTCAGCCTCTGAGGATGGGGATGTTCTGGAGCTTTTCTCTGCCTGCTCTGAGCCTCCTGGTAGGGAGGGCTGACAAAGGTGCATTCCCTTTGGAGGAAGGAGCCTGGCAGGGCTGCAGCCACAGCCTGGCTTGAGTCCATTACCTGACTCGCTGTGTTTGGCACCATTTTTGTGCTGGAGCACTGGCATGGGAGCCCATGGATGCTGTGCAGAATGCAGTGTGCTGTGTGGTTGGTGGATTGCCACGAGGGTGCAGTGCTTGCTCACATGCCTATGGCCACCAGTGTCCTGAGGCTGTCCCCCAGCCCTCTGGGCCACTCTGCCTGGCAGCTCCACCACCAGCACAGGCACTGACCCCTGGGAATAGTGAGCAGTTTCTAGTTGGATTTCTGACTCCTGAGGGCTACATCGTGGCTCTGTGGTGCAGCTGCTGTGCTGGGGGTTCCCCAGCTCCTGCCACCCCTCTGAGCTGGCTGGAGACACAGGCTCAGCTGCCCAGGAACCTCAGGGAGCTCAAGCTGAGGCATAGGGAGCTGGTGCTGCTGAGCGTGGGGCCCTGCTCTGCCTGCCTGGGGAAGGAGCTTCTAAGAGCCAGTGCTCTCTGATCAGATCAGACAGCCAGGATGGAGGGACCACAGCACCCTGAAGCCCATTTGCTCTCCTTTTGTGACCCATGGGACACCCTGTCCTACTGTGAGATGTTGTCCTGTCCCACAAGGCATCTTCTTGCCCCACTAACACTGTCCCCTCTTTTTTCCTCCCCTCTAGGAATGAAGACTTTGAGATGTAAGCTACTTACACTGCCAGGTCCCTTTGTGGGGTGGGGGGCAGCCCCTGTAGGTACAGGGGGGTCAGGGGTGTAGGTACAGAGGGAGGGGGTGGGGACCAGGGTGAGTGCAGACCAAGGAGTGTGCTGGTACCAGGGGATGGCTGTGAAGGTGGGACTTTTGTAGTGCACGCAGTTGTGGTGTCCCCTATCATCTTCCCACACTCCCAAGACTGGAGCTGCTGCTGGTCCCACTCTCCCAAGCTGGTGGGTTTGGAGAAACTGTCTCCATACCCTATTTCCTGTGGGGCTAGGTGATGGGAGTGGGATGATATTTGACCATCCCAGTGCATCCTCAGCTATCCCTTACCCCCCTCTGTGGTTAGGGGTGACATATGTGACCTTGGTTTTGCAGGCCACCAACATTCAACTCCTACAAAATCCCCAGGCCTTCCACAAGGCATTAGTTCCCATCACCCACAGATGGAGGAGGAAATGGACAGACTCCCCCCCACTTGAAAAATGTGACTATTTATTTTTGCAGGGAACCTGCCTCTTTCCAAGGCTGTAATTTTTGATGTCAAACAATAAATGGTGTGTTTGTGTGCACTGTGGGATGTGACTCTGCTCATCAGGTCTAGCAGTGATGGAAGTAAGCAGGGTTAGGGGCTGGAGGGTTCCCCACTGCTGGCACAAGCTGAGGCTGTGCCTGGGACCACAGGGCTCTTTCTGGTGTTCCCAAGTGTGCTCTGCCCACAGCCAGCCTATGGGTGGATACAGGATCACTGCTCAGTGTCACCAAGACTGGGTGATGTCCCCTCACTGGGCAGTCCTTTGCACCTCTGACTGGGTGCCAGGTCCCTCCCTGGGACAAGCCACACAAAGAGCCTCCTGCCTATGAAGTGCCACCCCAAGCTGTCCTCAGCACATAAGCCCTTCCCTCTGGCAACCCTAGCATGTATCATCTGTGGATTTCCAGTGAATTCATGGGATGCCTGCAGCCCACACCTCCTTCTCTCTGCACCGGTGCCATGGGTACTTTCTATGCTCACCCCTGCACACACTGTGTTCTGCACAGATAAATCAAGGGTGACGTGGTCTGGAGCCTTGGGCTGAGTTCAGGTATTGCTTTGTGCTGCCCCTTGGAGTAAGTGCAGGGCCCATCCCGAAAGCTGTGTCAGGCACAGGGGATATACGTGAGCAGCTTGACTCATTTCCTTTGCTGCAAAGTCCAAGTTTCTCTGGAGCAGAGTGAGAGGGCCAGGCCAGCTCCCCCTCCACTACGTGCATCTCTTACTGTTTTTTCCACTTGCCTAAGGATCTAATTGCTGGTTTTTCCTTTGGGCTTTATCTGAGGCTGCACCGGCATTACCTCCTGTCTCCCCCCAGCAGAATCTGACTACAAGAGAGAGCTCTGTGCTTGCCTGTAAGTCAGCTCAATGTGTCCTTCAGATTGCTTTGGCCCCTGCTTCCCCCAAGGATGCTCACCCTTCCTGGTTCTTGGTGTGAGATATCCAGCAACCCCTTGGAAAGCACTGAGCTCTGTTTTCTGCCCTGGACCCTCAGCCTCCAGAATTCTGTTTCCTGTTTGTGTGGGGCCCATACATGGAGGCTTCTGCCCCCAGGCCTCAGGCTGTCCCTACTGTGTCATGTTCCCACTTCCTCTTCCCTTGCTGTGCCTCGGGGATGCTGTGTCTTACACAGCACTGCTGCTGGCCTTACTTTCTGCTTGCTGGCCTTGTGGGCTTTGCTTCTTCCCTGCTCTGTTTTCTGCAGAGCCAGTGCTGGAAGGCAGGGAGCTTCACCCTCACTCACTGTGTCACTGTGGCTACCTGCATCCAAACCCAGCCCTGGCAATGAAGATGTCCCCTCCAAATGACTGCACAGCCTTTGCCAAGGTGTGGGGCTTGCTCTCAGCAGCTCCCCATTCAGTGCAGCTTCAGGGCAGTGTTCCAATCTCTGGAGCCATGGCTCTAAGAGGTGCTGGGCTCCATCCATGACCTCCTCCCAAACAGCCCTGGGAGGGGGGTGACACCAGAGTCAGGCAAGGCCACCAGCTGCCTAGAGAGGAGGCAAGGACAGTTCTATACAGAATGCCCACAGTGGATGCCACCAGCTCTCCTCTCAGGCCCCACTCCCTCCGCACATGTGTGGCAGCTGCCAGAGTGAGAGGGAATCTCACAGCGCCCCATGGCCACAGCACAAGGACCCCCCAAGGAAGGTCTCATCAATTACCACCCAGTCTCTAGGGAACCATTGCAGCACTTCCTCTTAGTCAGGCCTTTTTCCACCACAGGGACTTTCCACAGCCAAGCCTTTCTCTGGGGGAGACCCTGCCACATCTTTACAGTGGTTTCACAAACAATAATCTCTCCAACGGCAGCTCTGACACTGTGCCTGGCAGCAGGATTTTGCTGGGCCAGCCAGGTGCTCTCTGTTGCTAGTTTTCCTAAAAAATAGAGAATTTGCAGCTCTTGAGAAAAAAACCTTCCCTTCCTCAACTCTGTTGGGCCCAGCCACAGCTGTGCATGGCCTGGATGGCTCTTCCCTGTGGCACACAGCTGCGGCCTGCCTGTGCAGACTCTGCCTCCGTGGCTTCATAGTGGTAAGCAGCTAAGTACCACAGAGGGAATGAGCTGCCTGGGCATGCTCTCTGAGCCCAGCTCTACCAGTTGTGAGCCATGCTGGGCAGCACCAGAGAGATGAGCCTGGCCACTTTTCACCAGAGGCAAAACAAGACTGCCCTCCTCCTAAGGGTGTGTACCCTCATAACATCCACCACCACCTCAGCAGTGCTTTAGGAACCTTTATTTTTAAAAGGAGTCTGTCTTCCACACTTAAGACCACTCTCAAGAGGATTAATGCAGGTCAATCTCCACAGCCCAACAAGGCACCAGACAGCTCCTTTACACCAGAGCCCAGAATACAGGGGCAAAGCCACAGCGAGGGTCTCCCTCCTGGCGGAGGGGACCAGGCACGGGGCACCTGAGAGAGGCCGGAACCTGGATCTTCCTGCACAAACTGCTCTCAAGTTACATCGATTTTGCAAACAGAGGCACAATATGAGCCAGACAACCCTGACAAAGCCCCTTTGTATGCAAAGGGCAAAGGTAGAGGAGATGGGAACAGAGGGCTTGGGTGTCCTGCAGCATAATCTAAGCTTCCACAAAGGAAAGGGAAAGGCAGGGCCAGCCCCAAGCTCTCATAGCCTGCTGCAAGCTTCTCAGCTCAGCAGAGAGTTTGGGTACTGTCTGGGACAGAGAGATAAGGGAATTAGGCTGCTCTTTTCAGCTAAGTAGCTGCAATCAGTCACAGCTACAGGACTGATCCCAGAGGAGCTGTGGCGAGACAACGTGTGGAGTGCTGCAACTGGCAGTGTGTGTGCTGGGATCCCCAGTGCCATGGAGCTGTGCCACACTGGCCTTTAGCATCTGACTGAGCCCAAAGCAGCAGCACTCAGTGACCCAGCTGCAGGAAACATGCTGTTTCTCACAGGCAGAGCTTGGAGGTACCACCCAGCTCACTGAGCAGAGAATGGGGAGGAAAGACTGTGTACTGCCTACCACTCCACCACCAGTACCAGAGGATCAGGGAAGTAGAAGTGGAGCTAGAAAGGAGCCAAACAAACCAAAAACAAAGTGCTTTGGGCAGGGAGCAGTTCTGTAGTTTTGTAGTGCAGCCAGCGTTTTCATCTGCCAATGCACCTGGCATTTGCTCCTCCACTGGCACATACACAATTGCACTTGCTAGGAATAACCAGAAAGCCTGCCCTTCCTCAGAGATCCCCCAATCTCAGCCACCCAACAGGCTCTTCGAGATGCTGCAGGGATGCTTCAAAAAGGAGCAGGCTTCTGTACTGCCAACACAGGTAGGATTTCCCTTCCTTGTGCACCCAGGGCTTGGGATGAGGATGACATTGTCCTTCCCCCCTTCAGACAGTGTCATCCTGTAGCAGTGCTGAGGGCGAGGAAGTCCTTGCCACAGATGGCTGAAGAATATCATCAGCCGCTGCTTTTGAGGGGATTTTGTGCTCTCGGGGTGGGGTGGGAGGGGGGAAGGTGCTGCTCTGCAGGGCATCTGAGTACATCTCGTCCTGGACACTGGGACGCTGCACAACCCTTTGCAGCAGTGGCTTAAGCAAGCCCACAGTCAGCTGGTTCCCCTCGCTGGAGAAGGGCACTGGCTCCTCCTGGGAATGAGGGAGGTGCTGCAGGACCGTGGTGAGGATGTCTGAGGTGGTGAGTTCAGCAGGGCACAGTGGCCACAGCCTGTCCAGGTAAGGGTCCAGCTCCCGGTGCTGGGCAAACTCAGCCAGCAGTGTGATGAATATCTCCTTGTTAAGCAAGGGGCTGAGTTTGGAGAACTTCTCTGCCACCTCCACCACCCGCTGCCACTGCTTCAGATGGATGAGAAGGTGCAGAGCTTGCAGAACAGCCTTAGGTCTCTTGCTGCAGAGCAGCAGTTCCAGCTCCATCTCCTCATCTGCCTTGCCGTGTTTGTTCTTTTGGGCCAGCACTCCCAGTGCTCTCTTGTACAGTGGCACCCGGCCCTCTGGGCCCTCCTTGCTGCCATATGACCAAGAGCTGCTAACGTACTGCTGGGTCAGCTCCACAAAGCTGGGCAGCCACTGGGGTTTGAACCTCAGGAAGGAGGCACAAATGAGCTCAAAGAGTGGGACCATCCCATTCTGACCCACCTCCTCCAGCTGCGGCTGACACAGGACCTTCTTCCAAACTTCTGGGGTGGCCCTGGCTACCAAGAGGCCATCCCCATTGTGCTGCAGCTGCAGGCAGCTCCTTGTGGCCTTCCAGGCAGCCTTGGGGAAGGAGGCAAAAACAGAGTTCAGATAGGCCAAGTTGTCTTTGTCCATGTCAGACTGCAGAATGCGGCTGACCTCCTGCTCCACCAGCTCCTTGCAGTAGCTTTCCACCTCACTCTCTGGGGCACACACCACGCAAGTCTTGAGGAGCTCCAGGCTCATGTAGCTCTGCAGCTCCAGGCTCACTGTGCTCAACAGCTTGGCGTAAGAGTCTTGTAGGCTTCGGGCTGGCTTCTGCTTCTGGTGGAGGCTGTGCTGCAGGATGGCAGCGAGGACCACAGGAGCCTGGAACGTACCACCTTTCTTCAACTTCTCCACTGTCAGCTTGGAGCTGCTGAGGCTCCTCCTCTGATAATATCTGCAGGCCTCCTCAAACACCATCTCCACCAGGCATGGCTCAGGCCTGCTGTTGTCCTCAGGTTTGGAAAAGCTAAAGCTGTAGATGCCACTCTGACTGAGGAGCTGGATACTGTCCTCCTCTCCCTGGGACTCCAGGAAATGCACTTCTTTCATGCTCAGGACTTCCTTTTCTACAAGCCTTCCACTGTTCTGGTCGACAAGGTACAGTACTCCAGCCAGCACACAGGCCAGGATGCTGCCAAAAGTCTTCAGCTGGACAGGACTCCCTTGGGCCAGAGGACCACCCTCCAGGTCAAAGATATGCCTCTGTGTCCCATCTGGCTCCACGATACTCACAGAACCCTTTGTGCTCACCAGCAGCAGACCCCCGCTGTTGGACACAGTGGAGGTGTGAATGTCCAGAGGGGCAAAACCTGAGAGAAGACCCACA